ATTTATTGTTTTTATGTTCAGTCTCAACTGTTACGAAGTTGATGTGCAGTTAATAAGTGCAATAAATATTTATACTGGAAAAGAAAATCGTGAGAGAATCGTGATCTCAATTCTAAGCAAAAAAATCGGGATTCTCATTTTATGCAAAATTGTGCAGCCCTAACATCCTATAAATGTTTAATCCAGTAATGTACAAGTACAATATTCAGATTTTCTTACTACTTTAAATTAATTTCTTTTTATGTCAAATCAACCGGTCTTTCAAATTGTGCTTTTATAGAAAAGATCAGCTCTTTGCATCTAATATATAATGATATGCAGTATATTGTATATACATGCTGTCTGTTTGTATTAGACAGTAATTTAAAAAGGGCATTCCTATATTAATTTATTTATTTATTTATTTTTCAATATTTGTCACTGTCACTGCCTGTTACAAGTGATTTTTATTTTGTAGGTATCGGGAGCTGGAGGAGAAGCTTGATTACCTGCAGAAGAGCTCAGCTCAGAGGGACAGAACTGAAGCTCTGCTCAAACAGAAGGACAAGGACTGTGCCCAGGTATCACATGTGACTAGCTGTCATTTTTACTCTGAAAGCATAAAAAAATCTTCTACCTCCTATACTTTTAATTCTAGCAAGCGGAGTGCAAAAAAGCTTGTTTGTGTTTTTGTAGCTGGCCAAGGACTGCGAGGCCCTGAAAGCTCAGGCAACTTCCCTGCTAGGAGAACTACAGGAAAGACAAAGCTGGTTGGACAAAAGTGAGCATGAACGCGTACTCCTGGAAGACAAGTAAGTGGTTACATCACCTGCAATAGATCCATACACAGAATTATGTCTTAGTTCACCCTTTAGGTGTGCTCATGTGTTTTGTTTTGTTTTTGCCTGTGTGCAGATTAAGCAGTAAAATAAAGGCCCTGCAGGTGGCAGAGCGGGAGCTTGAACAGCAGAAGAAACAGCATCATGTAGCCATGGACAAGCTGCTGCTGCAAACCCAGAGCTTGGAGCAGGCCCTGAAGTCAGAGAGACATGTTGTCACTGAGGAGAAGTGAGTCCAAGACGCGTACAGATAGAAGAAGCCAACATGATTCATATGTTTCTGCACTGTTGTGCTATTTAGAAAGATTTATTTGAATGGAGGAACATGCATTAAAAAATGTAGAAGCTTTTAACTGCTCCCTTATTTAACAAGGGGCCACCAGAGGGAACGGATATGTATGTGTGATTTGGCACAGTTTTTACATCGGATGCCCTTCCTGACACAAGCCTCCCATTTTATCCGAGCTTAGGACTTGAGGGTACACTAGCTTGTGATGACCCTGAATAATTACTTTACTATTTAATCTTTTGTGCAAAAAAGTGGTTCTATATTAGAATCAGAATCAGAAACTTTATTGTCATTGTCACAGGTACAACAAAATTAAGAATGTTCCCCGATCATTGCATTACACTGGTAATTATACACAATGATAACCTAATGGGTTTTAACCCAAATTGTGGTCAAAGTCATATTTGTGATTTTATGGGCAATACCTGTGAACTGTGATAGATCACTAGCCAGACAGACTGATTGGTAATAGCTCTGTATTGTTAACAGTCTCTTTGGTCATTCCTCCTTTTGGTTTATTGAACGTTTACCAATATATTGCACTTTATTTCCTCAGGAAAAAACTGACACAGCTACAGCATGCATACACGTGTCTCTTTAGAGACTATGATTCTAAACTGAAGAATGAGGTAAAAATAAAAACCCAACCAAACAAACATTAAATTAAAAAAGGTTTTTACACTCATTAGTTTTGGAATACCTTGGGGGTCAAGTCCAAACATAAATCTGTGTTTATGCATTCCAGGGTGGAGATCTGTGCTGCCGACTGGAGGAGGCTGAGCGAGCGCTGGCCCTGAAGCAGGACCTGATTGATAAACTGAAGGAAGAGGTGGAGCAACAGAAAGGCTCCCTGGAAACAATTCCTGTCCTTACTGCACAGGTATTCCTTCTTAGCTGTTGAGCTGACTTATAAAGTGGTCACTTGACAGGTCTGGTAGATGACAGTGACTATGGACACATATTGACAGTTGAAGTAAACAGCGGACTGACAGTCTACAGATGAACAGCGGCCAATGTAGCTAAGTTTATGCATAGAACGCAATTTGCAGTCTACTGACATCTAGTGGTGAGATTTTACACACTGTAACTTTAAATAAATAAAAAATGATTGCATTACTTTTTGAAAATTTCTATAAATTGAGAGATATTAGAGATATGATTTCTTTAGTCCACGATAGTGGTGTAGTGAATCTCATTGTCACGACCCAAGTGGGATGTAATCAATGTGGAGCAAAAATGCTCAAATGCTAATCGCAGCATCTTGAATCTGACACAAAGACTGTTTGAGAGCCACCAGTGCAACTTAGCTCTTGTCTAGAAATTCTGTCCATAAAAATTATGAATATAAATGGTGTTGAGGACAGTCGTGGTGGAGACCAACTCTGCTGGGATTGTGTTCAGCTCATTGCCTGAAATGTGGATGAAACTCTCACTGCGGGTGCACAGGGACCAAATGACCTTCTTCCGTATCTTTCAATGGAAAAATGCCCTCTCCACACGCACAAAGTACATGTAGAATAAATGCACACTTGAATATCTGTGAGAGGGTAAGGGGCTCGTTCAGCATTCCACAACCAGAACTAAAGCCACATTGTTCCCTCTGAATCCTAAATTCGACTAATGGATGGACTTCCCTAACCCCTGGTATAGACATTTTCAGGAATGCTGAGTAGTGTAACACATAGGTTCCATAGGCCTGGCCACTAGATGCTCTCCCTTGAGTGCCCTCCACACTATCCCAGCCAAGGTGAACTGGTCCCTCAGATTCTTTCCTCTCATTGGAGTCCTTTGAATCACTCTGGAAAATCTAAAGTGCTAATAATTGTTTCAAACCACCACAAACTAAGGTGACTTCAGCAGCTGGCCTGGAAAGAGTAGAGAGAACCTCAGTATTCTTATAATGATGACAGCACACATTTGAACTTCAGTCTTTATCAGCCACGCCGACATTTTAACATGTATGTAATGCCAGTTTATTGAAATGAACCCAAATTACTGCATGAAAAATGACCTCACATGTCTCTCTCACCCAGGCTGAGATCTACAAGGCAGATTTCCTTGCTGAGCGAGAAGCCAGAGAGAAGTTAAACCAGAAAAAGGAGGAGCTGCAGGAGCAGCTGAATCAGGCCTTGTCTGAGAATGAGAGGCTTAAACAGGAAGCTACCGCACGGTAAAAACCAAGACATTGCAAATTATAATAATTATTTGTGTCATCAGATTGGGTATGTGGATGTGTTTATGCTTCATTATGTGTGTTTCATCTGCATGTACAGTTAATAAGATGAGATTTAACATAGAACTTTTCAATGCTCCCTTCTGTTTCAGTGCACGTATGGAACAAATGAAGATGAGACACCTGGATGACTTCTCTGCACGGCCCACACTCATCCCTCCCCCACAAGGTACAGAATCATGATAGTTTTATTCTCATGAAGCTCTACTTTCACTACTGAAATAGAGAAAATTTCATGCTGTGTGTTTTTTGGAATTTATTTTCTTTTTTAATTTATTCACATATAGGGCTGCAATTAAAAACTATTAATTTGTTAAAGTTTTTAACAATTATTTTATTCATTAGTAGATTCAATGTTTTGTTCATAAGATTCAAAGAAATAGTAACGCTCTTTGGAAGTGCCCGTATCTTATGACGATGTCTGTTGAATGTCTAGTTTTGCTTGACCACCGTCAGTTTCCTTTTATGCAGTCACTAAAGAGCATGTGCTATTGGTTTGAAATCAGGTCACTGACTTGACCATTGAAGAATATATCCCATTTCTTTGCCTTCAGAAACGTTCGGGTTGCTTTTCCAGTATGGTTTAGGTCATTCTCCATTTGTACATTGAAACGTTATCTGATCAGTTTTGTGGCATTAGGCTGAATTAAAGCAGAGTGTAAATTATTATACACTTTAGAACTCATTTTGCTGGCCATGAAATGCTTGTCAGTCCAACTAATTATGAGCCTCTTAAAATGGAGGATTATGTAAAAAAATGTTTGTAAATCCTAAACATGTATTGTAATACTTTTTTTTTTTTTTTTTTAGGTCTGCACTTCAATTGCATCTTGATTATTTGATTGAAATCCACTGTGGTGGTGTACAGAGGATAAATGGCTAAAATGTGTCATTGTCCAAAACCATTTGGATCTAACTACATACAGTGGGGCAAAAAAGTATTTAGTCAGCCACCGATTGTGCAAGTTCCCCCACCTAAAATGATGACAGAGGTCAGTAATTTGC